AAAAAAAAAAAAAAAAGGAATAAGCTATATGTAACCACACCCGACGTTTTCCTAAATCATATCTCCTTCTCTTTTAGGTATTTGGATCCGGTGTTTTTGAGCTCGATCTCCACGAATTTAAAAATCACAAAGGTTTGCTGGCGAACGGGAACGCATGCAAACCCAACTGCAGGACTTATTTCAGAATTTGCTTGAAGAACTATCAGGCTGTGGTCTCGCCAGGTGACTGCATCTTTGGAAGTACAATGACAGCAGTGCTGGGGACAAACTCTTTCAGCGCCAAGGACAGTGGCACTTTACCTAGACCGATTCAAATACCGTTCAACTTTGGATGGCCGGTAAGAGCGCGGAGCAGTGCCTCCACTTTATTTGTTTTATAACAGCGAGCGCTATTCTGTTGTGCTAGGGAGCTGCTATGCATTTTGGGAGCGCACCGGTTATTGGTCAGCTCATCTAATCCATATCATTAGGTAACACTCGGTCGACAAACACATTGGACTGCCACGACGTCGCTCATTTCAAAATTTCGAAGGCCATGCATTTAAATGTAACATTTATTTCTTCATGAAGTGTCATTGAGAGAGCTCTTGTCAACAATCAGTCTATCAAATACAGCAGAAAGAGAAACAATGTCGGGTTTCCTCCCTAAATTGGCTCTGTAAAAAAAATGAAAATAGTACAATGCATATTGATTAACTGTGTGTTTTCTCCTTAGGGGTCATTTTCATTAATAATTGAAGCCTGGCATTCACCTTATGGAAATCTACCTGTAGGTAAGTGCAACATTTTTTACCACAGGAGGGAGCTCTGTCTGTACATTTAACACATGAGGCTGTCCAACTAGTTTCCCGTTTTTGCACAAATACATGCACAAAAAAAGCAAAAATATTTTAGGCAATTAAATACTGCCCAGTCACTCAACATGTCCCTCTCCTCCTCTTGTTAATTGTTCACAATTTCACACATTTTCACGCCTATTCACTTCTTTGTTATGAACTTCAGAACACCTTTTTCATTCTTATACCCAATACAATTGAACTTCCTCTGGTTTATTTTTGGCGTGGGAAAGAGCCGTGGGCTTTGGTGAGAATACACAGTGCCTGCCAAAAACCCCTGACTACATCTTCCTGTATTTTACACCTTACTCTGTTCCGCCCTTTGGAAGAGGGGACTGGGCCTGGGAATGTTTTTGCTGACGGAAAGAAAGAGGAAATTTCAACCTGAGTTTATCTTTCATCTAAGCTGTATGGGATTTGATAAGGGATGCAGCTTGGTGCTGGGCAGATTATTAAAGCGAAAGTGAATGACTTTTGAACCCACAAGCCATTTATGATGCAGCTCTTGACATAAAACCATAATCATCTCAGGACATAAACAAGCTAGATTAATTCTGACTTCCTCCTCCGTCTCTTTTTTTCTTTTTGTTTCCTCTTTACAGATACCAACAACCCAGACTTTCAGATTAGCTTTTTTGCCATCCAAAGACAGATGGGTGTGGGGACTGACTGGTCTCAGGATGTGCAGACTGGAAAACAGACAGAGCTAAGATATTCTTACCGGTTCATCTGCAACGAAAGTTACTACGGAGAAAGCTGTTCCAAAAAATGCACGCCCAGGGACGACCGATTCGGCCACTACACCTGCAACCGCGATGGACAGTTATCCTGTCTGCCTGGCTGGAAGGGGAAATACTGCGAAGAACGTAAGCAATCAACAAACTATACACTATCAGGCCTGTTCACGCCTGGTTGACTTACTGTGTATCAGCAGTCTGGCCTTTGCTCTTTTTTTTTTGCCAGTTCACAGCGGAAGTTTGTTGTTCAGGGTTGCTTGTGTGTGTGTGTATTGTTCTAACATGAGAGGCTCTTCCAGATGTTTGAATATGACTTATAGACAGGGGAATCTGTTTTCGGGTCTAGCTGTAGAGCTTGGTATGATAAAAATTGACGGTCCTGACCTCAAAAGATGTATTATTTCTGCAGTTCTCCTCATGCTGTATGACCTTTGCCCTTCATCATTATGGTTTAGGTCCTTGAGAAAAAAAATGCACACAGGATATTAGCAGTCATTAAGTTGCAAGATTACTCATTTTAAGGCCACAAGATGTTGAGGACTATAACAAGACATGACGTAATGACATCGAGCAAATCTGAGGAGCAATTTCGGTGTAGAAAGCATTTTTCAGAGATACTTGCCATGTACTCTGTAATCATATAATTCCGATGTGTAATTGGTTGTGGGGTTTTGCGAACACTCATTGAATATGGGTTGAGGGACAGACGGCTTAGCATGACAACAGGCACATTATACTCGTGCAAACCCACTTGGCCAGATCATAGACCAACACTCCCATGTTTTGGACAGCTCTGAATGGGCCCACGAGGAGGCCCGATGCCATTTGGCTCCACAATACCGAGGGCCCTTTTCACCAAAACAAATTAATCAAAGAGTAGATTGGAAGGAGGCACCGTGAGAGTAATAGTTACCATGTGCTGGATATGCGACCACAGGGGTGACAGCGGATCTGTCATCCATGTCACTTGGTCGGTGGTGAAAGAGAAATTGGCATGTGCTATTTCGACCGTGGCGCCAAATTCTAACCAGATGGGCTCACGTGTTGCAATTACAGACACATCAATCGTCTGGTGACTACAGAAAATATACATGAGAAAGATAGATTAGGCATCTTTCAGACACTATAATTTCCCCTCTCTCTCACTCACTCACTCCATACAGCAAGTTGAAACAAAGGCTGTCATTTGGACCTACACATTTGAAGAATGAGGTTATTAAAGCACAACAGGTACATTTGAGATAATTCCAATTCACTGAAACCGTGGCTAATTGAGCACCTGTGAGGGTCGGGTGGGGGGCGGTGGGGGGGTGGCCGTGATTCACTTAGCTTTGTCCTAATAGCATTACCAAGTGGCGCTTGGTGGCGTTTTTTCACAATTCAGTGTAAAGGAAGTCACGTCCACACTGGAACTGAAAATGAGTGCAAAAACTCATAAAGTAACTTCTGTACCCGCGCTGCCGGTAACTTAATCCTAAAGCGCGATGTGTTGTCGTGCTGCGTGTGGTGTGGCGTGCGTGTAGGTGGTGGTGGGGTGGGGTTGGGGTGCGCGCAGGCATTGATAGGAGGAGCAGCCGACTGCACGCGCCCAAGTTAATGCGGCATTTTTATCCGCCACGGCCATCGATGTTTACGGTACCTTCCAGTTGTCTGAGCGCCTGCGGTAGTAGCAGCGGCAAATATGGTGTGGCAGGACCCACAAACAACAATAGTGACAGCTGTTCTGCTATTGAGAGCAAGCATCTGTTTCGTGGAACTAAACGGGCAGCTTACCGTCCCAGTCGCCTGATATTGCGCCCTGCGATCTCAAGTGTCATGCAAAGACGCGTACAACTTAAACAGACAAACAAACCTCAACCGACCCCCCCCCCAGTGGCAGCTGGGGGTGTGGCGGACAGGTTTAGATCAAACGGAGGCTTCTGAGGAAAGTTGAGACAGATGTACTTCAGCATACTGTACAGTCGGCTATTTCAAGAAAATGGGGGCTCTTATAGGCCTTGGTTGTTATTTTAAAGACTTTTATCACCTTGTGGATTTCATTTCAATAGTATCTCGTTTTTTATTTTATTAGAGCCAGTGTTTTGCTTCTTATAATTTTTAGTTGTTGTGAAAGTTGTGCAACTTAATATTCAATTTGTCAGCAGGCCCAGTTATGCTAAAACCACCAGATTGGAGCATTATAGTGGGAAAAAAAAAGAGCAGCAGACTGACTGTTTTGTTTGTGCTTTTCCTTCTCTGCTTTAGCTATCTGTCTGGAGGGCTGCAGCGAGAATAACGGAAACTGCTCCAAACCTGGCGAGTGTGTGTAAGTATTAATAATTATGAAGTGTTGAAATAGGTGTTGGCCGGTGTGTAGGAAGGAACACATATGGGAGCAATGCGAGTTCATTGTCATATTAACATCAGCAACTCGGTTTGCTGCAAATTGTGTTTATATACAATTCATCGGAGTGTGATATTTCATCCCATTACGGTTCACACAGGCTGTTCTTGCTTCCATAGAATTTATTAAAAGGTTGGAGTTCACTAAATCAACGTCATTTCAGTATATCCCCCCTTGTCGTCTCCCTGCGCCATTCACTGACTTCTCTGCTTCCCATGTTCCTTTCCTGTCACTACCCTGTCTCACTCGCTCACTCACCAAAAAGGATAATTCACACACTCACCCACTCGCTGTGAGAAATTCCTCCTGAAACCCCTTTTTTTTTTTTTTTTCTTTAAAGACACAAATCCATCATTCCCAGCACTAAAACTGACCCAAATTGCAGTTAAATCCAGTAGATACCAAACACTGTAAAGCTGAGCCCATGCCTCTGCTTAGTCAGCAAAGAATGTTGGAACCTTAAAAGTACATCTTAAGTCCCACAATCATAGTCTGAGAAGTTTGCTGGACACTGTGCTGAGAAACAGATATTCATGGGAAACCAAAAAAAAAAAGAATTTGATTGTTGGCTGGCTGCCAGAAATCTTTGACGCAATATTTCACCTTTGCTTTACTATATTATCAGTATTTAGCCTTAATATACTGCACATACCTCCATGAAAAAACACAATTACCAGTGCTCATGTGTGATGTGACTCTGCACTCATCATATGACTTCTGAATTAAATCATATTTTTCGTGATTGATTTATACAAGCATTTAATGATCGTATCCAACTCTGGCGCAGCTATTAATGTCTTCTTACATGATTAATGATTTCATATTGCAACCATCAGCTAATCTATGGCAGGCCTATAAAGCGTAGATGTCTGCTCTCTCTCTTAATCGAAGTCGACTGACTGCGTGTTTAATAGAGCCGAAATCAAATCAGCTCAAAGAACCAGATTCAGATATGTTATTCTTGGCAATTATACGATACACAAAAAGAGGAACGAGCGGTTAATCAAAGATGCTGTTTTGTCATTTTGCAGATGCCGAGACGGCTGGCAGGGCACATTCTGCGACGAGTGTAAGAAGTACCCGGCCTGTAAGCACGGTACCTGCCAGCTGCCATGGCAGTGTAACTGTCAGGAGGGCTGGGGAGGCCTATTATGTGACCAAGGTACACCACACAACTTGGACCACTGCTGCTGTTCCTTTTTAAAAGATGTTCTCGTATTACTTGCACACTGTTTTCATTTGAATTAACTTGAAAGCATTAGTAAATTAGGTTTCCTCTGAAGTGTTCCATTCATAGCTTTGTGCACATCCGGGGTAGACAGGTTTTTGGCTGCCTGTAAACAAAGACTCTTCTCTCCCCCAGATCTGAACTTCTGCACCCATCACCATCCCTGTGTGAATGGCGCCACCTGTATGAACACAGGACAGGGCAGCTATACGTGTACTTGCCTGCCGGGTTTCACAGGGGTCAACTGCGAGCTGGAGATGCAGGAGTGTGACAGCAACCCCTGCAGGAATGGAGGGAAATGCACAGTAAGTTGGAAACGGATACAGCCTTATATTTCGATGCAATTTTCTTTTTGGCTGATGCTCTAGGTTTGTACTGTCCGACTAACTTTTCCTCTCTTTTTCCCAAGAATTTGGAAAGTGGCTACACATGCACGTGCCCCCAAGGTTTTGAGGGCTCCCACTGTGAGCACAGCCTGCTGACGTGCGCCGACTCCCCCTGTTTCCACAGTGGCAAGTGCTGGGAGAAGGACAATGGCCGCAGCTACATGTGCGAGTGTCCCCGCGGCTACACCGGACTCAACTGCGAGAAGAGAGTGGACAAGTGCACGTCGCTTCCCTGCGCTAATGGTATGGTCTTCCTCCCCTCTTTGCCCCCCCCTTTCTGAACTTCCCCTCGCTCTTTCTCCCCCCTTCAAATTCCTGCAACTGGAAGCAGCGAGGAACAACAGGAATTGGTGGGAACTTGGTGTCTATTGTCCTACATATAAACACTCAGGCAGCTCAGAGCAGCAGCTTGTAAATGTCGCCACAGCTCGCTGCGGTTGTTGATGAAAGGGGACAAATATCCAGCTCAGCTCGATTTCTGTCTTCTTGTAAACACGGGGGGGCTTCTGGGATTGGTCTGTGTTAGGAGAACAATACTCAGCGCTGTGGTCACACTGTGAATTTGATGGAGATGTGTGAACCGAAGGGGCCTCGTGGGAGGGTCTGTGGCGATTGTGCTCGCTCTAATGTTGAAATCATTTTGGATGCTAATGTTGGCTGTGTTCATTGATGCTAACCATCCTCCTCCTCTTCTGTAGGTGGTCTGTGTCTGATCCACGGCGGCATGCGTGTGTGTAGCTGCCGTGCGGGATTTACAGGCCAGCGCTGCGAAATCAACATCAATGAGTGTGCCGGTAACCCTTGCCTCAACGCTGGCACCTGCCAAGACCGAATCAACGACTACACCTGTGTCTGTCCTGCGGGCTACGGCGGACGCAACTGTGACAGAATCTTAGACGAGTGCTCCCTTCGCCCCTGCCTCAACGGGGGTCTTTGCACCGGGGGCGGCGGGCCGGGCAAGCCTCCAGCAACCTGCATCTGCACATCAGGCTTCACCGGGCCCCGCTGCGAGTTCTTCGCATCCGTCACCTCTCCCGTGACCAAAGGAGAGATTCAGGACGGCTTCCAGTGGGCGGCAGTTTCTCTGGCTGTGGGGCTGGTGGCGCTGCTGGTGCTGTTGTGCATGGTGGGCTTGGCTTTGAGGCACATCCACAGGCAGGCCCGAAGAGAGAGGGGAGACGCAGAGACGATGAACAACTTGTCCAACGTTCAGAGAGATAACCTGATCCCAGCCTCCCAGCTGAAAAATACCAACCAGAAAATCGGCCTGGAGGTGGACTGTGATTCGGAGAAATCGAACTTTATCCACAAAAACTATCACTTGGACTCTTACAACTCTAAATCAAAGGAGTTCAAGGATGAAAAGTCGCAAGAGGATAAAAGTCTTATTTATGACAAATGTTTAGAAGACAAAATGCCCTTGAGTCGAATGTACAGGTAAGAGCATCCATATTGAAGCTGATTGTACTAAACCATAATGTGTGTCAAAGTGCTTGGACATTTCCATACATTTCTTCTATTGATTGTGTTTACACAGTGTGGAAATGACTGTTAATTGGTGCTCTCGCTCATGCACTGCATCCTTTCTGTTGTTTGAACCCAACAACGAGCCCCAGTTGTTTATTTTTTCTCAAATCATTCCTCATTTACACAGTTTATACGTATTTGACAATTATTGCTTTGCTACACATCCTGTCTGCTGCCTCACTGTATACGTGTGCACCTAATGCATAGCTCTGCCATGTGCTTCTAGTTTGTGTTTAACACAACGTGTGATTTGTGCTTGCAGTGAAAAGCCAGAGTGTAGGATATCAACGATATGTTCCTCAAGAGACTCCATGTACCAGTCGGTATTTGTTATAGCAGAGGAGAGGAGGGAATGCGTCATAGCAACTGAGGTAAGCCAAAAAAAATCACATCTTCATCAGCATTTCCGCAGATCTTGCACTACATTACATGAGACTGCGTCATGTCATCCCAAGTGCACAATCCCTCACTGGTGCGCCAGTATTTATGACAAGGGGATGGTGCTATAGGTAGAAAGACTGTTAGGGTATCTGGAACTAAACTGGGGAAAGCCCAATCAACTGCATTATTGATTTCTGTAAATTACACTGGCTATTCTTTATCTTGGCCATGTGATGACCTTAAGTCCGAACTTACACTGATTCCTCACACATGTTTGGCTCCGCTCAGTCTCAAAGGTGCTATGTTTTACTGCTGTGGCATTTAGTGGAATTTTTAAGGTGTTCATTTCCAAGGAAAATATAATGTTGATGCTGGAGCATGTGACCTATTAGAGTTCAAACAGCACTGTGAAAACACTTAAGAGAGTTTTTAGCTTTGGGATTATTGTGTTATTTCATTTTGTTACAATTTCTTCCTCTTCTCTTCTTCCCACAGGTATAAACTGTGAGGGGTCTGAAAGCGAGGGAAGGAGAAAAAAGACACAATCGAGGCAGAATATAATATTCTGGATTGTTTACAAATGCTGAGAAGAGACTGGAGATTGTTTAAGATGTCCACTGCTGCTCTGGAACACTTGAGAACTGGAGAGGGCAGACACCTCTGCTCTGCAAAAAAAGAAAAAAAAGAACAGAACTGAGAAACCTTATGTTGACCGAGTGTTTGTATGCAAAACATGTACAGTGAAGGACCTCTCTCAGTTGTGACAGTGGTTAAACGGACTGGCGAATAGACTGACTACACAAGGTGTGAAGACTGACAGAGCATCGGTGAAATATTAATTTATAATCTCGGCCATCCTGGACAGTAGAAGGAGGTGAAGGTGGATCATTGCCCCTCGTATCTGACCCGGCCTTGTGTGATAATCATGAAGACTTTGATAGCCAACCAATCAGTAAAAAAAGGTGCCTAAGATTTGACCCCTTCAAATCCCCCAACCCCCCCTCCCCCCCAGCTCACAAACTCACTCCTGCCATCTTCGCCTGCTATGCAAGACTCAGGGTCGAGACGAGTGAACTCACCCACCGTCACAATCCAACCTCACAAACACTGAGAGTTATGAATGTCTGAAACTAATCTTCAACTGTCAATCACGTGAAAATGACTGGTTGGACTTTTCCATGCAACGGTGAAGATTGTATGCAGCCCAAATTCACTAGAAGCCTTAAAAGAGGGGGTTAAATTTGTGCCCTTGTCTGTTCTTGGATCATTTGCACTACAAAAATAAATTGGGGGGGGGGGGGGGAAACTTATTTAACTCACAGGGCATTTTGAAGAGAAAACCACAGAGCGCAATAGTCAGTGCTGTGACCAGCAAGATCCAAGAGACAAGGAACTCGTTCTCCATAGAAGAGTGTTTTTTTTTTTTGTTTTTTTTTAATGCAAACCCAACCGAGAAAAACAAAGACTCAAAACAAGGAGAAAAGACTGTCACACCACTGCCTGCCTATAATAAATTTCAAAAATACAGAACCAATAATGTAATTTTTTAAAAATGATTATTTCCAGAGTTTAATTTAAATATGACACACTGCTCTTTATATGTTTTATAATATTATTTTGTATATAATGCATATTTATAAGGACCAAACTTCTGAAGAATAAAACTTCCTTGAAAACTGTTTAATTTGATGTCAGTGAATGGAAAAGGAAATTATTTTTGAGGGTGTTTTTAAAATAACAATTGAGCACAAATGATGACCAAATGTGTGCTGCATTTGTTTTTGATCTGGGATTCATTTAAGGGGAGACTGTTTCATCCTGTACTCAATTTATATTGCTCAGCTAGATCTTTTAAATTGCGAGCAGCTTTATGAATATGAAATCCAGCTGCTCTCCTACATTCACACATCATATTTAATGTTTTGGACATTAGGTAGAGACATAAAGCCCCCTGACTGTGCCATCACTACTTCGAGTAATTCCTGGAAACGCCTTTGGCTCCCACCCCACTCACCCACTCCTCGTTCTCTCTCTGGCCCTAAATTGGCTTGAAATTCAAATCCGTTTCCACGGATACCACCCCCTCAAGCTGGAAATGGCGAAACAAAGCCAGGCGCAGGGCAAAGGGGAACGCCCCCCACCCCACCCCACCCCATGTCTCATAATGCTCACACACACGCGTCCACGAACACACACACAGCCAACCAAACAGATGCCGTGGGGGGAGCATGGAGTGAGTCTGTGGTGCCATAAAAACAGCAGCATATGCCAGGCCTCTCGCCCCGTGTGCATGACACACAGAGTGCACAGACCCCCTCCCCATAAAAAACACACATGAGCACTTACAGGCTCCCCAACTGCCTGCCTCCCCTTCAGGGTTAAGAGCAATATTTCACTGCCCGGTTCTGTGCTACCCACTCCTGCGAACAAAGCTGGGGAAGAGGGCCTGGCACTGGGGCTGGGAGGGGAAACCAGATGGGAGCCAGTGGATCTGCTACGAATCCACATAAATAAAAAAAAAAGAAGAAAAGTTGACTTGCCAGAGCAATCTGGTCAGTCTTACTGCCCCTTGAGATATCAGCCTTAAAATATGTTCCAGTGTGTCTAAAAAAATCCATTTTGAGGAAATGTGTCATCTGCATTATCAAATGCAAAACCTCTCCTGCCTCCAGTTAACAGAAATCCTGCGACAGTCAACACCCCCTAATCAGCAGCAATCAACACTCGGCAGAGAATCTGGATGGCTTTTCCCTTCACATACATCCTGTTAGCCTGTTGACCTAGGCATCCTCATCTAAGGGTTAGTGTTGTGTGTGTTAAAAAAAAAAGAAAAAATAGTTTGGAAAAGGGTGCTTCCGGCCTAGCTCAAGAAAAACACACATGTTATCACAACAATTAATCATCTAGTTAAAGCCCCCCACCCCCACCCCATGGTTTGGTCTGTTACCTGACCCAGCCTGAAGAGTTTCTTCCCACCATCATCATACTCACACCTATAACCAGACACACACCCTCATTCGCTCTTGATCCCAGTGGCAAACACATGCTAGGGCTTTGCTCTTTGGCCTCTGGGTCTCCATAGCATGGCCAGGCATTTTCATTGTGTTATAATCACAGCATCCTGTTTGTGACCCTGTGACATCAGTTCCTGTTTCCTCCTTGATTAAAAAATGCAGAACATGCCGGCGCGGGCCAACGCTTTTTCTCACGCATCGCTTTCTTCAAACCGCAATCACTCGCGCAGATGACTTTGGGTTTTCAGGAAACAAACTTCAAAACAACCGAGAGCGCAGACAAACACACTAATCAGCACTATTTATTCTGAAGGAGGAAGTGGGGGAAATCTGTGATATTGATGTCATGAATGGGGAATCAGGAAGCAGATTTGAAATTCAAATCTTCCAATCTCTCTATGTGGAAAGTGAAAAGTCCCTCTACATCAAACTTGTGACACTCAATCACAATCAAGAGTGCAAAACTGCTACTTAGCTCTGGCTTTCTCTCCTTTGCCGCATCTCTTTTCATTTAAAGCCTCATTAAAGCATGTTTCTGCACATGCATGTGCAGGCAGATTATACTGATACATCATGATGCTGTCACTCTCACAGTGTACTGTAATGTTTCCCCACGCTGCACTTGTAGTCGTCTCATTAATTAACACTAGGTGTCAGTAAGAAACCCACACAGGAAATGAGTGGTCAGTCCCTGCCCAAACAAAACCTCAGGCACACTCAAGTTCAAGTTTAAAGCAACATGATTAAAAGAGCAGTATGTAACCCAAATACCTATAATAATAGAGCATTCGATTATAAATACATGATCTATAGAGGGGTAGGACTGGGGGAAAGGGACTGATTATACAGGGGCCCTGGTGTGATAAGGGCCCACAGAGATACTAGAATGAATAGCTGTGGATGCTGGGAGGAGCCTATAGAGAATGCGTATGTACACGGTCCAGGACTATGTGCTACATCCCTGACAATGCATCCAATAATTCAGACAAAGCTACTGAAAGAATCTGAGACAAATCATTTCAGTGTTATGCATGCAGTGTTATGCAAGTACAGTCACATTCTTTAGGATACCGAAGAATGTTTCCACATACAACCTCCGCCTTCACTGCCGCAGGACCTATACATGCAGTCTATCTTGTTTATCTGCATACACTATATACTGTATCCTGTGAGCCATAAAAACAAGCATGGACACGATGATATTAGTCACAATATAAGTTGATATTTTACTATGGGCCTTCTATTTCAAATTGTTTGACAGCAAAGACAAATAGTGAATATTTGAGAAATCGACAAGTCAAAACATTGAATCAGTGCACTAGATTAGATTACAGGCATCGGTGTCAGTGTGGCTTAGTTGAAGCCTTTAGTGGCCTTGGAGCAAGCGGCCCAGAGATACTGTAGCAGCAGGCTCGAGGAGTGGACGGACATGAAAGGCCTTGAAAGGCGTAATGGGATGGAGGCTTGTGCATGACACAGGGTCGCTCAAAGGCCTGGATTGTGTGGTGCTTTAGATTTATGAAGAGCTGATACAGTTGTCTGGCCTCTTATCAAGGCAGATAATGCCCGCTATTTATAGATAATCTATCTATTGAGCACAGATGAGCCGCTGCTATTACACTATATCAGATCCAGCAGGAGTGGTGGGCATTTTGGTACATTTGATTAGGACCATCTTTCTGATCACTGCTCTACCTTGTGTCTCTGCTGAGTGCAAGCATCTGGTTTATTAGGAGTGTACATTAGGGTTGTGTCGACAAACAGTCTAAACCTGGGGTGGTTATCAAACAGCATGCATGTGGCTGCCAAAGCAGCATGTTTGCTGAGTAAAGTGTATAAAAAGAGACGTATGTGTGTGTTTACAAAGTTGGAATAACTCTGCAAGAGTAGGATTTCTGATAACAGGCTGACCCTGAGCCAGCCAATCACATGTCGTGGCATGTCAAAATGACCATACCTGCTAGAAGTGACAACAAAAAACGAAACTGTGATTAAACACAAAACAGCAAATTTAAAAAGAAAAGTACGTGTTCACCTCCCTTCAACAGGCATTGAGATGAATGTGGTGGTGAGGGATCTTCAGCTGTCAGTGGCCTTTGTTGTGCCATTGGATCTTTGATCTGGGACTAGATTACAGCCCTCACTTGCCCTGACTCATTTAAACATCCATGTAGGGTGCTTATTTACTTGCTCACAGAGATTTCCATCCATACTGTGTTCAGGTCATGTTATTTCAAGGGGGATAATTATTTATTATTTATTGTTTTTCTTTATTCTTTATCTTTTTTTTATTTTTATTTTTTTTGGTGGCATATCTTGTGAAATACATTGCCCTATGTAGGCCTCTCTCTTTAAAATCACGACTGATGCAATGTCTTGGTATGTTGCCTGGTTGCTGCTATGGCCCTGAAATGCTGTGGGAAGTTGCATCAGCCACATCAAGTCT